CCATATAAAGCGTGAAGTAAACATGTTATGCGAGTTTTTTTTACCGGAACCATTAGGACCAAAAATTAGAAAATGAGGAAAATCACCATTAGCTACCTGAATAATTAATAAACATAAAATTAGACGACAAATTGAATGAAAAAATTCTTTTACAATCGTTTGTAATAATGTTGCTTGTTCTAATTGATAATCAAGTTCTTGAAAATTTCTCGGACGATATTTATCACACCAAAGACTCATCTGAAGAAAAGATATTATTTTGTCATAAGATCAAATATCGTAATCATAACGAATGATTGATACACTTTTTACATCTACATAACTTCAGCTTCTTTAAACTTAAACAATTCTCTCTGCTATCGTTTAATTATAGATTAAACAGTAAAACGATGATAAATTATTTATTTCCTGTCAACTTTGACTTATAGAATAAAGATAGATGAAACATAATTGCAGTTGTACCTTGTCCTTATTTATTAATTTCACATTAGATAATACAAAACGAAACACCTTAAAACAATAGGAAAATATGTTAAGAAGAAAAAAAACGGGTTATTTATTCTTTATTAACCATTAAACTTTCATTTGATCCTGATGTTTCAAGTAATAACTTATTAAGTACTTTTTTAGCTGTATGAAATACATAATAAGTCAAAATGATTGTCATGAAACATTCGCATAATCCAACAACAATACCAACAGTTTTTGTACGTTTATCAATTAATATTAGATCTGTCATTGAATGCAAACGAGAACCAAGTGAACAATAAATAAGTTGAGTTGGAATTAAACCACATAACGACCAGAAGAGATAAATGCGAAACGGGATATTACTAATTGAATAAAAGCCATTTTGTAAACCAAGAGGAATCTAATGAAATAAAAAATATTTCCAAAAAAGAAAATGTTTTAGTTTTGTTACCGGGGTGAGTCTACTAAGAAAAATAATTTTATAACCATCTGCACTGTTAAGAACCTTAATTATCGTTTGAATAATTTCACTATTTTCAAAAGTTGCTTTGAGATTTTTAATCACACAATAATTATGTGTTAATATAAAACGACAAACATAAAATGATACAGATAAACCAATGCCAGCATAGATTATTATAAATATCACACCATAAATAAATCCATATAAAAAACCGCAAGCAATATTTAATAAAATGTAACCTATGCAAATAAATTTATTTCAATATATTACAAAAAATAATATTTACTTACCCCAAGCAAATGGTAACGAAACAAGTGCGAATAAAACACAAAAAAACAATGATGTCCACCACCATGGTAATGTTTCAAGAATAAGTAAAACATTAATTAATGAATCCTTGTATAAATATGAGCATAATGATGTTAATACGACAAACATAATAAAAAAGAAAATAATTTGTTTAAATGAAGGACCAGTAAAATTTGTTGAATGAAATATATCATGATGTGTTGGTTTAAATTGAATGAGTTTTTTCTTTGATAGAAATGGTAAATCATTATTAGTATCAGTCTTTATTTCATAATCATTTGCATGATAGGGTGATATTGAATGAATAGATGCTGTTGTTGGCGAAGAAAATTGAACAACAGTAGTATCAGACATTGAATAAGATTTGTTGTTTTTACAATCTTTTGAAAATAAAAAAAAAAGAAAACAGCCAATTCGAATGAGTTTGAAATTTTTTTTTTCAAAAAAGTGCATACTTTTTAACCATGACACATATTGACAACTATTTTAATCGAACGGACGGACAGTTCGCTCATGCACATATGAAAGAACACAAAAAAAAAGCAACTATGTAAATTGGAACAGTAATACACAACAATAAATGAGTATCTAACGATAAAACAGAACATGAAAAAACTCGATTGGTTAGATTGTATATTACCAGTAATATACAAAAATAGATGTCCATAATGATCGATAAAAGCAAATATATGTGTACAACTAATTTAATAAAAGGACAATAATACCGACTTAACAGATTTATCAATCATTTTTGTTCAAAGAGTAGTATATTATTATCTTTAAAAGCATGTTCTGCAAATCTAAGTCGTACTTTTGAACTCTTATGGCACTATGTTCTTTCATTCCTTCTCATACGAGCTATTACTACCTCAATTATAGTAGCATTTATTGTCTTATAATGAAATTCCGTCTTGCTTTAGAAATACTAATACATCTGTTTTATATAACTGTATACAATCGATTATGACTAAGATAGATAAAAAGAAAGGAATAGTTAATCTGACAAATATAATCTGTGTGACATCTGTGATCTATAAGAATTTATTGGATAAAATAATGATAATCGATACGATAGATAAAATAAATGTATATATATCTTCTTCTACGTCAGTTTCACTAATATTTGAAAATTAATTCTCATTCTATTTTGTTTCATTATCCAATTTTTTAATTGAAATCAAAATGGCTGTTCTCAATCGAACAGTGTTTGATATTCCATTAACATGGAATCGAATTCGATTTGAATCAACACGTAATAAATGTCGTATTGCTCGTAAACTTATTGATTTTAGTATTAATGGTAAATCATTAAATGAATTCTTAAAATAAAACAAAAAAATAACTATTTTTTTTTTTTATAAAATTTAGTACAATTTGAAAAACAAATACGAGGTATATTTTCTCATAATATTGAAATTGACGAAAATATAAATGATATCAATGAACGTTTATTAAAATACCACGATAAATTACGTGTACTTGATAATATGATTGAATTAGCTTCACAATCACTTAGAATTTATTTTGATCGAGTAATATTTTCTATTTAATTATTAAAATAAATTTTTTTTTATACAAAATTAGAGAATGGAAAATGCACGTGCTATTGTTAATGAACATTGTAATATAATTCAACAGATTATTCATGAAGAAGCTGACCATTGGAAAGAAATTCATTCTATTATGGATCAGTATGTTTTAACATATTTCGTTTTATAGTTTCTTGTAGTTTTTATATTAATCAAGAAATTTAATTAATCCCGGTGATATTCGTTCTCGAGATAATTTTCCACGAGTAATTCAAAAAAGTCCAGCATCAAATATTGAAACAATAGAAGAAGAGGATGATAATGATGATGATGACAAAGGAGAACTTGTAACAAAATTATTGGTAATTATGTTTGATTTATTTTACTATTTAATAGTTTTTACTTTTTAAAGAATGGTAAAACATTAACACCATTACTTACTCAAATGATTCGAAGTAAATAAAGAATTTTTTCAATTTTTTATATAATAATGAATATTTAGAATCTCGAATTCAATCAAAACGTCTCACAATAGTTCCATCAATAAAAATAACTGCTCCTAACCAACAAGAATATTCAATACCTAGAAAAGAAGAACGATTTACTACGCATCTTATCCCACTTAGTATAGTTCGTCAACCTTTACAAATTATTGATACAACATTTGTTGTTAAACCTGAAGAAACGATGATTGATGGTGAAATACAGAATAATGATGAAGAAGAAGATGATAATGATGAACCAAATGGAACTTATCGAGCTCCTAATCAATATTGTCATTCACATTTATGCATAAATCAACCTGAAACATTATTAATTGATTCTCAACGAAATATACCTGCACGCTTATGTTTTTCACCAACAATTCTTCAAGATTTAACTGATTTACCTGAAGATGATACTCATGAACAATCATCATCATCACCACCATCTAGTAAGAATGAAAAAAATGAAGAATCA